AAACCCTGATAAGAAGACCATGGATTCCTCCTGGTATTATGTGGCTACAGTTGCAAGAAGAATGGAATCACATCAGGGAAAACCTGCCTTTATGTTTAAAAAGCCCAATCCCTCTCATAGTAGGACATACAAATAACACAAGTCACTTTCTGCAGTCTAAATTAGGAGTGATAGATTCAGAAGACCCCGGGTTAAAGAGTGTCCTGTTCCTGAAGCCCTGTGTTTCATCACAGTCCAATGAGAATCAGAGCTGTATACTTTGCCCAGTGGGAAAGGCAAAAACCATACTTCCTGTCAGGTTTTGTGTTCCTCATTGTGCTCACTTCTTTTCATAGATGACAGACCAGTCAGTGCTTTCTCACCTTGCATGTATGGAGGCCCCAATTTGTGTGAAATTAGGCCAGTCCACACATTTGTGGTGTTCTGAGAGAATAACTGCAATTTTAAAACCTGTGTGTGACTGACCTCTGTTGGTGAAGGAGAACATTAAACTGTCTTAACTGTTGGATTAACAAATATATCTTTTGGCTCTTTTGGTTAAAAAAAAATGTGTGTAAGCACAGGTCACCATCATCAAGACCTTGTGACTTTTACTCAAAGAGATGTGTTGTTTCCTAACATTGGCTTTTTCTGCCAAAGCACAGTCCTGTCTATTGATTTTCTGTAAGTGTGTCTGCCAAGCAAAGTTTCCAGTGTCAAAACTTGGGCATTTCCTCCTGAAAAGGTTAGACAGTTTAAAAATTACACACAAAAGGCTAAAATGGGCCATCAGTCTTTCACGCAGCCGCGTAGGAGAGTGTATCAGACGCACACAGACTGTCAGGTGAGGAGAAAAAGGTTAGGTCAGTACAAAAATACCATTTCATCTACTGCAGTTGCAGAATTAGATGAAACAGAATTAGTTTCTCAGTGCTTTTATTGAACTATGCCCTAAAAAAGACCCTGGCCTGTGTAGCAATATGCTGATTGGCAGGTCCTTTTATCTATGGACTCACAAAGCACAGATCCACCAAGCTGCCACACAAAAGCTAACAAAAAGTCTAATTTATTTTAAGTGGTATTGACAGCGATGGTCAGAATCCTGGCCAAAAGTTCACGTTGGCTTTGGGACTGGGATTTCAGGTTTTACATTCATGCAGACTATATGAATGCAGATAAAGAAAGACTACAAAGACACAAAGTGAAAAGTAATGGAAGCAGTCTGACAAACGTTTTAGTTGCACGTTTAGCTGCATTTTACTTCAGAGCTGTATTCTGGATCTCATGGAAGACACATGCCTTTTTTTGCACTTAGTTAAATTCACATCAGGTAGTTAGGCAGCTGTGTATCGGTAAAAAGTCTCATGATTAATTTCGTGTATGCTTACATAGTATTCAGATCTTTGGAAACGTTGTAAAAGGGATAACTATGTGGAGAAATGCACAGCTGCATTATTGACAGGGGATGACTTATTGTTGTCTTCAGTCTGGGTTATTTAGTTGGTGTATTGCACAAATTAAACGCCTGAGATATCTGCAGCTGTTCATTAAAGTCAGTAAATAGTAACAAGACTTTAATCCAGACGTGTGGCAATAAACACCAACTAAAAGGTCTTTTCACAAACTGCCGACTAGTCAACAGTTCCTATAAGTGATCAATGATTTGTTTATCATTACGAAAGTCATTAGTGACATAAGTCGTTTATGATTACTCTTGATTTTAGGCATTCATTGTGAGTATTGTGAAAGTGTTTCTCTGTGTGTGTTGCAGCTCCAGATGCTCCATACACCCACTGGAAGCAGACAGTATTTTACCTGGAGGACTATTTAACAGTCCGAAGAGGAGAAGAGATCGTTGGCTCAATTGCTATGAAGCCCAATGAGAAAAATGTTGTAAGTACTGGTATGGATATATTTTGAAATTAGGATGGAT